AATGAACATTGCCTCCCCCGAGAAATGTAACTGAACTGTTCATGACCTTGATGAATAGTTCCATGAATATATAGAGCTGCATTGTTCGTAGAAATAAACATTACAAATTTACCTCAAACTCCACGTTGGTCGTACGAAGAAAGACCATGACGCTGCGCAGTGGTCATCTGTGCATAATGTAATAAAACAGACCGCTGCCCAAGTGTGTTGTGTGCGCATGTTTCGGAACTGATGACGTAAAAATCCATTATCGCAAACGCATCGAGATTTTTTCTACCTAACGTCTCCAGTGTCCAGTCCTCTCGTTCGTGTATAAACAGGATACCCGTCAAAATTTGTGTTGCTCCTCGCTTCGCTCGCAGCAATTATATTAGAAAATCTCGTCATGACAAGCCAATTAGCGAGAGGTTTTTCAGCCGTGTCGTGAACGTGTTCATCCTTCCATGAAGATTCCCAAAAGCTTTTGATCGTGACTTTGAGATATTCTTAATGGAAACATGAATACGTTCGCGACACGGTTGAAAAACGCTCGCTAACATTGGCTATCTTTCTAGGACACTGTAGCCAAGTTCACTTAAGAGGCGATGCCGGCCAAGAAAAATGAAGCAAAATCAAAAATTCGTGGCCACGCAGTCTAACAATCAAATACCTTAATTTTTGGCTTGTAGAAAGGTTTTAGTGAGTTTAGCAACGTGTTGGGGTTTATTTGACAATTTATAAAGAAATCCTTGAAAAAATCGAAAAAAACGATTTCCGCTTGTCGCTGGTCTAAACATAGCTGCGACGTCAGTACCAGCGGATAACGCTAGCTAGGGTTACAAAAACTTGTTCTCGGTAACAAAGCAGCTATAATTTATTGGTAACCGCTCACCCAATTTTGATAGATTGCAAATTTAACATATTTTTTATTCATATCAGTTTAACGTTTAAATTCAATAAATTTAAAAGCGTAGAAACACTTTTTTTGTAAGGGACTGTGCAATAATTATCAGGAGGGGGGGCTGAAAAAATCAGAGGGGCAAATATCAAACAAGTAAAACTTTTGATACGATTTGCAGCTTGTGGTTGCTCAGGAGAGGTGAGACTGTAACTGGTAAAAGATCTCAAGTCCATCAAAAGTTATCAAAGCGGTTGTAAAATGTAACTACCCATAATCCTTGTTGGTCTCAGCTTCGTAGTTTTTCAGGCGACTAACTTTATTGAAATAAGTGTATAAAAGCAACATGAATGAAATGCAGGAGGTGTGCCAGAAATTGATGGTTGATGAAACCACTCTTAAATGCTTTGTTCAACATCTTGAGTTTCTTAAATTGAAAGCTCAAAAAAGGAAAGCTGAACGAAACACCCTTCCAAACATTAACTGGAAAGATGAACACGAAGTCAGAGCTGGTAGCACGTGTCCTTAATTTTGCTCTTGCTGAAACACCTAGGGATGAAATAATTAATTCCAGTGATAGTAGTACAGAACAGTTCCTGTGTAGTGATTCCGAATGCGACTCTGATTCTTCTGAAAACAGCTCTGATGTGGAATCAGATGACTATGAAATGAACGGTTTTGGAAGAAGATGACAGTGAATAAGCGCTTATGGAGGCTTTAGCAGAATGCTACCAGAATGCAAGTACGTGGAGAACTAGGCGACAAATCCTCTCGATAATGACTCAGTGATAAGGTGACATTTGGTGCACTGAAGACGTGGATCCCAGAGCTAACTAGATATCGTTATAGTGTTGCCAGAAAACATGCACTTCTCCATGGTAGAGGTGATCCACCACCTCTAAATTTCACTTTAAAATGATGTAGTTTTAAAACAAGTTTTAATTTTTTTTCAAAAGTACGCAGTCACCTTAAAATTGTCCACCATCTTAAATCTAGCTTAGAAACCTGGACCCGGTTGTAGGAAGGATGAATAGCGCTATCCCTTGGTCAAATATTATCCTGCGGATAAATTTATTGAATAACAGCATTAACTTATCCTCTGGATAAGAATTTATCTGTTGGCCATATTGCTATCCACCCTTCGTAAAACTAAAACCTCAGGGATCCCACGAAAAAAGACAATTGGCCACTTTAGAAACAAGTGAAGGAAAGGGAACGAGTATATAGAAGGTATTGATATCATTGGAAAAAATTGCCCATACATTTGGAATATTTGCTCTTTTTGGTCTTTTTCCTCTCTTTCCAAAGCAAAAGGTTGTTCTTAAAAGTAAAGTTATATAGCACAAGTAAACTGCGTGACAAAACATCCTAAATGACCCGTAAGTCTTCTGTTCTTTCGCTAACTAGTAGTTAGTGTGTTTTCGCAACTCTGTTTTCGAGGCTACGAAACTTAAGAAACCATAAGAGGCGAATGTATAGGCCAACAGATAGAATGAGCTTATAAAATCAGCAAAAATACGGTTCTAAATTTTAACAAATTCCTAAGAATTATATACGAAAATGTTCAGGAAAGCCTGGGGTTTTCAAATCCACTTCTGTTTTTTTGACAGGTTCTTTTTTATATCAAGGAGAGACGATTTTCTAGCTTGACCCCGGTTATGTCATGCATTTTCTCTTGTAAAATACGTCCAATAGAGTACATTCAACTCAAAAAGTACGGTGTTTTTTTTCAACAGAATTCAATCTAAACCATATAATACAGTCCGTGAATAGTTGAATAAACTGCATCCACTTCTGTTTTTTGCCTAGATAGTCATTATTTTGAGAAAAGATCCAAAAACCGTGTTTCTGAGACATAATTTGTATGGGCTTACATGAGGGGGCGTGAGCTTGAAATCGTAGCTGACCAAATGTTAACAGTTTTTTTTTCTGATGTTATCTTATTAAAAAATTAGAGAGGACAAAAAAGGTCACATCAAAATTAACAAATTTCTGCAGTTTGGCTTCGATTGGCTAAGTAACAGCTAAATTACAAGCCATCAAAAACATTAAAAAATTACAAAGATTGTGAATGTTAACTAAGGGACAAGCGTCCCCAGTAATTTTTGAGATGTTTGGGAGGCTGCTGCACAAAATTGAATAAGGTATGAAACCCAAAATCTTGAAACTCCAGAAATTTACTAATTTCAATGTAATCTTTCATGTTATTATGTTTGACTTTTTAATTAGGTTTATTCTAAAATTTCGTTCCCAGTCCTCAACTCGTTTCTAAAGTGGGCAATATAAGCTTGATATGTAAGTTGTCAATCAGAGTTCTATTGGACAATCAAATATTACGGCCACCTTTTAGGTAATTAAAACCTTTCATGTGGTTAGTTTTCGTTTTTCAGCTGAAGCAAAAGACGTGCAGAACAAGTTCAAGCTGCTCCTTCAAAATTGTTATCCTTCGAGAACTTTACTACGACTCTAGTTCTGGTTACTCATTTGGTGTCACTGGCGATGCCATGCCAAGACGTTCGCTTTAAATCTCTAGCTTTAATGCATTCCTGTATCAGATCTGTCTATCTTTCCAAGGTCAGTTACCATCCCAAAAAAATTATAGGAAATTAGATTTTTATAGTTTGTACCGCACTACAAAATGTGGATAAGGTCCTCAAGGGGTAGAATGGAAGCTGGGATTCGCCTCTTTTTTTGGTCTGGGAAATGGGATTTTATGCACTGGGAATAGGGTTTACAAACATTCTTAAAAAAAGAAAAAAGAAAAAGAAAAAAGAGACAGAGAGAGAAACAATCAGAAAATGGGATTGAGATTTGAGCAAAACATAGCTGGGACTATGGGATTTGGTCAAAATGGGGTCGCTGGTAAATGGGATTATTAACCCTCTTCAGGACCCTCGTTAGGCTTACGTGCCTTGAAGACCAAAACCATCACACGGTTGGCTCAGTTGGTTAAGCATCAGACTGTTGTGCAGGAGGTCGTGGGTTCAAGCATTGTGTGACGCTCTAGGATACCAATACCGTTATCCTCCCCGAATATCCTACCTTCCTTCCAAGAAAAGCTATGCACAACAACGAGTAACAATACACTAATGACAACATTTATTTAGAAACTTGATTAACGATAAACTCGTAAAGTTATAGATCAAATATAAACTGCAACTAGACTCAAGAAAGGAATTACTTAATATAAATGTTCACGCTCAAAGTTCAACTTTACTTGCTTGCACCTTACTTGACTTGCTCTAAGAAACTTTCTGTCCAATTCTGACTTATTTTCCCTTCCCCACGTAGCGCTGCAGATTAACCCACTACGTCTTTGAATAGTTGAAGAGGTTCTCAGCTTTACTCCTTCGGTAATGATTCTCTCGTCGCTTCTCTACTGAACTGACTAATTTATCGACTTACAATGTGATAGCGTCCTATACTTCAGTACAATCTTAAGGACGTTCATGGCAATGCTCATGCGCATCCTTCCTACGCATTAATTTAGTGAGCGCGCGTTCATCGTGATGACGTCATTCAAAATCTCATAAAAACGTCTTTTATTCTCCTTAAGCTCTAAAACTAAGTCGGGTAACCCCTTTTTCATTTCGTTTTTTTTTTTTTTT